AGTTACTATAAGGTCAGAAAGCAAAAGAGCGGTATTGTGTGCTAATGAACCCTAATGCCAAGATCTGGTAAGTATATTATCTTTGCTAGTGCTTACAAACTAAAACAGGCGTAATACTCCTTGGCATCATCATGAACATTATCCCGAAAGGGGTAGCGTTTTCAAGCTTCAGGTATCATGAAAGCCCAGGGATTTCACTGGTTAGAGTATAGTTGGAGGGAGAAAAACCCAGGTGTAGGAGAAACACGAATGGTAAATATTTTGTACGCTCTATCTGCTGGATAAAAGAGTTGGGAAATTGAGACACCTAATGAACTGTGTGGCTTCTAAGAATTCGTTTTATAGCTGAACGTGCGGTAAGTTCATTAGACCTATCATGTTGCCAGGCTAAGTATGCAATATCCTCTTGCTAAGTATAAATAAAACCTTGATTCGATAACAAGAGCAAAGCACTTCAAAATGAGCAAGTCCGGTAATTTTTGGCCTGTATACATGTAAGATCAGAACACGAGAAAAACGATATTGTGGGGTACTTTGTGCTCATTAATCCTTGCCAAGATCTGTCAATTTATCCTTGCTTAACAAAAACAGGTCTCTTTTTATTACGCACATTACATTGAACATATGCACAACTTAATAAAATTGTAAAAATGGTTTAATATAATCGGTAGCAGTACAGTAGCAAGCACTACAGTGGAACCTCGCCTTACGATCACTCTGTTTACACGGCCACCTTGTTTATACGAACATATTCTTGGACCGAAACGTAAAAATCACTGAGTTCACTCTTCATAACAGATTTTATTTATTTATTTATTTTTTGCACTATTTACATATAGTTTACATTGGAATTTTACTTTGTTTAAGTACCTTACGGAACAATGTCAGAAATAAAGATAAGAAGAAATTAAGGAATTAAGATGTGCGCAGTGACCAAAGTAGCTAATGCTTCCGGGTTGGTCACTATGGTCGGCAATTTGTTTCAAAATTATGACACGATATACGTGCGTTTTTTTCCCACGTATACTTGCAATCATTCCCGCTACACGATATACGTGCGTTTTTTTGCCACGTATACTTGCGTTCTTTCCTGCTTTGTGGGGTTTTTATTCCCAAGTATATGACCATTTTCTTACAAACGCGCATATATACGCGCACAAAAAAGCCCATATACATGCGTTGCAAACAAGCATGTGGTATATGGGGTTCACAGAAAGCCGTCGTATAAGAGGCACCGAATTATACCGTCAGCAAAAAACTCCTTCATGTACGATGGAGCTGAAAAGTAACTTCAGTTTGAATCAAACATGGCCGTATTGGCCGCGGCCGCGGCTATATCATTTCTCTGTCCGAGCTTTTTAAGTTCATCTTTTAGACAGGGACGAAATTCGAAAATCATTTGATAAGGGGACTGGGTGCTAGTAAAAAATGCTGTTTATTTACACTTTTAATAAATCATTCAACAAAGCCCAGGCACAGATGCCTAGTTGCTTATCTAGGGACACGTTTGGTTGTAATTTCTTTGATTGGCTGCTATTATAAAATGGTGCCATTTCTAATTTAAGTTTTTCTCGCGTAAAATGACCGTTAAAGGTCACGTGACCTAATTTACATATTCTTTTACTAGGAATCGCACAAACTTTTGAGAGGCCTTATTTTACTCAAGTTTTGTCGGGGTTAATCCTCAAAATATAGACCACCCCTCGACTTTTCGGGGGAAATTGAAAAAGCACCTAGTATGCCTTAATTTCCTTGAGATTGCTTTTACTGTTTTATTGTCCTTGTAATCTTTCAACAGTTTTTTTTTTTTTTCAAACACATTTAGAGCTCTTTCAAAGTAACATTTCCTTGGTACCAATCGACAGATGGATCTTGCACGGCTTTCAGGTGTTAATGATGACATACGGGTACCCAACGACCTTGTTTATTTTTAAATTCGTCAGGAGTGTCTCAGATGGTTTTCTCTTTGATTTAGAAGCCTGTTTGATTAATTTGAAGCTGTTATAAAAACTGTTGATCTGTTCCTATGTCTTAACGGGACTTTGGTCGTTTTAAACGTTTTAGATGGCTATCCTGATGGGTCCGGACGACTAAGTTCGAAGACACAGTCAGAGGAGTAACTAAGCGACGTTTTGTTATACCGAAATTTTCCGAAGACTTTTTTTGTGACAATTTTCTCGACATCTTAGTAATAAAATATGAACTGGCAAAAGTCTCTGAATAACGTAGGAACGTTAGTAAAAAAAAAAAAAGGAAGATTCCGCATATCTCAGGCGACTTTAACAATTATCCTTATCCAGCTATGTCGCGGAATAAAGTCGTTGGGTGGATCCAATCTAAATTCGCGCCATTGAGCATTTCTTGAAACCGCCTAAGCCGCTAATAAGCAAAAATGGTGACATACCAATCGACTAAGGACTAGCTTACCATTCGTGGAAAATTGTACGAATCGCAAGGCTTCTTTGAGAAATCGTATTTTTTTGCCAATGGTTAGATTGGTGTGGGTGTTCTGGCGAATCCGTTTGTGTATATTCGTGACACGTGTGTGACATACCGGACGTACCTACTAAGGTTTACTAAGATTTACTGTGCAGATTTCTTGGCATGGTGAATAGGCCATTTCCGCGTTCCAGAAACTCTCACTTTAAAAACGGGGCTAAGTGCGAAACCTTCGCTGTGCAAATGAGTTTTATTTGCGTGAGAATAAAAAGTTATTTTCATATCAATGGCTTCGCAATTCTACCTCGCTTTGAAACGAAGGGTTGGGGCCACTCGAAAATGGCCTATTACATGTATTTGATAAAATTACGAGAGGAAAGAAAGAGCGCAGAGGAGTTACAGTCAACTATCTTTATAATGGACACTGTAGGGACCTTGGGTTAGTGTCCTCCTTAGGTGGAGTCCGTAATAGCGGGAGTTTACCTCAGTCAAATATCTGTAATTCTTTTTTCCTAGAAGCACCTGTCCTTATTATCGGAATGTCCGTTATAGAGGCCGCTGGTGTCCGCAAGACGAGAGTTAACTGTACTGATTACATTGATTGAAGTAAAATTTTACAGTTGCAAATACGAATCGCCTTTGCTTACTGAGAATCGAACTGTATGAACTTGATCGACCGATCAAACCGGCGTCATGTGGTCCTGTTACATACGTGGTGAAATAGTGCTCTGGAAAACCGCAAAAGGTAAGCTAACGTCTTATGACCTATCCTTTAATCAGACGTCTACCTAGGGAGTTTGCCACTCAAGGAGTACGGCTGAAATTCAGTCTGACCTATTTCAATGATCAATGATTTCCTGTGGTTTTTGTTTTTGACAGGAATTTAATTTGTCCCTGATGAGATGCTGTTTAACCTTTTCTTTGGCTCTGAGTGGAGGACCAGGAAGTTTATAAGATACATTTGTTCTGGAAAGAATCTGTTCCACTCTTGCAGAGTCTGCGAATGTGATGATTTTTTTAATTATATGTTGAATGTTTGAAATAAATGAATTGGAGTTGGTGCTATCTTTCCTTGCAGTGCTTTTTACTTAATTTTGTCTTGGCTGATTGCCGCATTACAAATGGCTACCATCAAAAAATTGTTCAACTTCTATTTCTAAGAAGAAAGGTATCCTATCGTGTCAGGACGCATATCGCAAACGAGAGCGCTCTCTGTTCGTGCTGTCACTTTCCAGGAAAATTGCCGATTTACTACACATGTACGGAATAAGCTAATTAAAGCTAACAAGTGTCTTTTTATACTGAGATCGTTAATAAGGAGGGAGGATAATACTCAGGCAGGTAGAATTAAACCATCCGTTTCTAAACAATTATTGGATGAGGTTTTTGTGATATCCACCGAGACTTCGTTTGTTTTATTATACATTGAACGAATCCTTTCTCTCTCGCTTCGACATAAAATGTTTTCAAAGTTTGTGCCAACTTTTTCTTTTCCTCTTTCACGTCATCAGCAAACAGCTCCTTTGCCACCTTCGTCGACCTTTTTGTGTTTGTGAGTCCTTGTCTTCGGCTACTTTTTCGATGCCTTGCACGGTCAACGAAGCAAACCTGGAAGTCATGTTTTTGCTTTTTCACTGACGGCAAGCAACACAAAGCGCGCGAACTTGACATGATTACCCTAAGAAATCATGCACCGCGGTCATACATGACATGATTACCCGTGACCTTAGGAGTCCTTGACATGAGTATTGTATATTCTGCAGCTAGATGACGTCCCAGGCGCTGATTTCGAAAATTCACTGTACGCTTTCGGCCAATCAGAAAAGGGATAGTGAGTTGAATGTATAATTGTGTCAATAAGAAAATTCTTAAATATGATTGGTTCTTAACAGCCCATATTTATAGCTTAATTTTGCTATGTAACTCCAAAACTGTCCGATTTGACCTGTCCGATTACCAGAAGCTATTAATCGGACAGGTCAAATCGGACAGTTAAAGAACCAGTGACAATCAAGTAGCAAATGCCACTAGCTAATGAAATTTCACTACATGGCACATGATAGCCAATCAAAATCAATGAAAAAATTGTGACCAGGTAAGCTGTCCAGCCTCAACCGGAAAAGAAAAATGGATGAAACTAACTGGTCCAGTGACATTTTTTCTTTAGGCTTTGACAGCTTGTTTAATACAATTGATTTAGAAAGCCTTGAAAGTAGAGAAAACAGCGATACAGTTCCTGAAGTCTTAAATACAACAAACGGAGAGAGCGAGCGAGCTGTCCTGGCGGAAACAACGATGGAAACAAACAACTTACCGGCACCAGACGAGTCCAGGTTTCTACATACTACCAATGAGCAAATACAAGAAACAATTAAAGAAGCAGAAAATAAGAACACGCTAAGAAGTACAAATACGTGGATGAGAGTTTGGTTAACCTGGGCAAAGTCACGTCAAATCACCGAGAGTATAGAAACAATGGCGTCCGCAACTTTAGACGGAGTTTTTATCTGGAAGTGAGAAAGCAAGACGGCTCAGAGTATGAACCGGACTCACTTAAAGTTATGCAAGCGACCCTGGAACGGTACCTATCCATCCAGAAATATCCATGCAGTCTGATAAATAGTCTGGAGTTCTCATCTTCAAGGGCTGTTCTTGAAGCAAAAGCAAAACAACTACGAATGAATGGTTACGGCAAGAGAAAGAATCGCGCCCTGCCTTACAACTCTGCCGAAGAAGAGTCCTTCTGGTCAAGTGGTCTGTTAAGCGACCACGATGGAGTGGCTCTCACAAACCTTAACTTCAAAAATTTGTCCAAGCACTTCGGATTTCGTGGCCGTCAAGACCATTACGACGCTTATGTACAAGATTTTGAAGTTGCGTGGATCCAGATCCAGGGAGGAGAATTGGCAAAGTGCGTGCGTTTCAATAAAAATCCAACAAAGACCCGTTCCGGTGGCCTTTCAGCAAAACACAGAGAAACTCCTCAAGAGATGTGGGCCACAGACGGTGGACTAAGAGATCCGGTCCGGCTTTTTGAAGAATTTCTGAGAAGGCGCCCATTAGAAATTCGAACCTCTGGGCCTTTGTACTTGGCAATAATACAGCGTCCGAAAACCGAAGATTGGTATGCCAAGTCCAGGATGGGCGAACACAAACTTGGCAGCATTATGAAGACCCTAGCACAGACGATCAGCATTGATGGAAAGAAGATTTCAAATCATTCCACCAGAAAAGCAGTTGTCGCCAAATTGAAGAAAGCCGGACAACCAAGGCACAAAATGATTCAAATCACGGGCCATGCAAACGAAACCTCGCTCGATGACTACGACGAATTAATGAAGAAGAAAGGAGAACTCTATCACATATCATAAGCGGCTATTCTGGACCATCCACAACGACAAGTTCTTCCAAAGCATCGCCGCCAAACTCGAATTCATTGGCAGTTCCACCTTCAACAGACGTTTTTGTGCCATCGAGCAAATATGCAACGTCTTCATCAACTTCGCTAGGTGCATCCATCAGCCAAGCGAGCGCTTATTCTCTCGCCCATCAGTATTCCAACGTCCAGTCTCCAATTACACGAACAAACGACCCAGCAGTCGTTTACCATTGAAACTGTCTAGTAATGTGATAGAAGTTTCATTAGTTGACCCAGATCTCAGACCATTAGTTTGCAGTTTTAATTTCTTTGTTGTTTTATCATAAATCAAATGTGGTTTTTCCATCACTCATAATCGTCGTAGCCAACTGTTACCAGCGCCGTACAAACGACTTATTGAGGAGATCAAGCAAAACTAACTACGAGAGAAAAACTGGAGAACTGACAATTTGACTAACAATAGACGACTGTTTAACTGTGACAATAGACGGATCGAAACGCACCAATCACTGATTACGAGTCTTCATAGCCAATAACACCACGGCTTAACTGACAGACGACCAATAACATCGCGACATAATTGACCAATCAGATCAATAACCAGAGTATAAGACCATCCAAAATTAAATAGGGTGGCTTGACTGGATTTTTTGGGGGGATACCTTTCAAGTTTAAGCATTAACTACGTACGTCAGCATGAGTAAAGATATGGAAAAAAGGTTACCACAACTGTATTACATAAATATGAAAATTTCTTATGATCTGGGTTTTATCGCAAACGGAGTCGCCGTGGCAACCTAATGATGCCATTATGTTTTTTATTTATCTTTGTGTTTCTCTGCACCAGGAATCTTTTTAAGAAATGGCTTAAGGGAGTATGTACCTGCCATAATTGTTTAAACAAATTCTGTGAGAGCATTTCGGAAATGTTTTGAAAGCACGTTTTTAGAATCATAAAATCAGTGAAATAGCATGCTATCTACACAATTAGCTCATATGTTAAGAAAATGTTAAGCTTTGGACACACGGCTTCAGAAAACTGCTGTGTACAAAAAAAGAGGGGAATTGCTCTGTGCGATTGTGAGTAAGAAGAATTTTATTAACCTGCATTCAGCTGCTTTTGTTACAGTTTTTGCACCTAATTTGGTCCATGCCTACAAATTTCGCATTATTCAAAAAACCCCTCGATAAATTTTTTCATAAACTTGACTACCTTAAGATCAATCGTCAGTAAACATAGCCTGCAAGTTTCAAGAACATTGAAAACAGGGAAGGCTTTTAAAAAGGGCCACCAATATAACCAGGGTTGTCAGAAAGTTTTGAAGTAGATGGTTGAGTTGTCAAAGTAAGCGTCCAGTCCAGGGGTATTTTCTTTAAAAAACGTCATCTGCAAAGAAATGCCAACCAGAGTAGCTGGCCGATACTAAGCAAGTATGCGGCACTTTTTGCCGGCAGCCGGCTACTTTTGACAACCGTGTATAACCAAACTTTCCCTTAGTGAACGTCCTCATTATTCACTGGCGTTGTTTTCAAGTTTCATAAGCACATACACAATTAGCAAAAGAAATAAATTTACATTTAAAAGAACTCTCAATTACTGTCTGAAGAAATATCCAGAAAATGCTAATAATTGACTTGTGTCATGGATAGCAGTGAGAGCCGAAACATTGAACGTCACGGCTAATCATGTAGGATGCAATACGTAATTATCTTACTCGGGTTATATCATCACAGCAACTTTTAGAAAGAGTTGCTGTGATTTTCTTAAAACATTAGCTGATTGTGAGGATAGCATGCTATTTCACTGTTTTTATGATTCTTAATACTTTGTTTCAAAATACACTGTATTTCCAAAATGTTCTCACAGAATTTGTTCAAACTTTGCCATAATCGAAGCAATTATGGCAGGTACATACTCAGCGATTTCTTAAAAAAAAAAACTCCTGGTACAGAGAAACACAAAGATAAATAAAAAATGTAATGACATCATTACACCGCCATGGAAAATCCGATTGCAATAAAACCCAGATCATACGAAATTTTCACCTTACATAATACAGTTGGGGCAACCTTTTTCCCATATCTTCACTCATGCTGACATAGTTAATGCTCTAACGTGGGAGGTATCCCCCCTAAATCCAGTCAAGCCACCTTAATTCTGGCTCTGTTCAACCAGCTCTTGAAAAATATATTAACAATTCCAAAGTCAACAATTACATGTATGACAGTAACTCACTGTAACTATTAAGTATTCTTTCTCTCTTTTTCTCTTGAGGGCATGACAAGTCATAAGAGGCCCAGTAGAGGTCTAATATCTGACATAAAGAGGACATAGCTTGATCAACTTGTTTTGGCTTGAATGTGTTTTCGAAAGTAACACAGAAGAATAATTCCTCACATCAGATGTTGCCAGAGAGTTTCTTTTTCTACCTGCTTTTACTCACTGCCATAAGAGTTTCTGAGTTGCAAAACACACACTAAGACCAGACTCAATTTGATTGGAGGGGAGGGTGATATTCTGCGGATTAATTTTGTTGGAAAAAAGTTTTGTAACAAAATCTCTCTCTGATCGTGAGCAAAAAATATAGTACCAAGGTCATTTCATGCCAACATAATTATTGAAATTTGTTGAACACCTTCTGGTAGTTTATTATTCAAAATCAAGACAAACTTGCAGAAATAATATTCTAGACCTAATGCTATATGTGGTGTATGTGCTGCAACTGAAATGCATTCTTGTCTTAAATCAGAGCTTTCTTTAGACTAATTTTTCTATGCTGCAGAATTTCATTATATTCCTCTAAACTACAATAAACAAGTTATTACTAGTGTTCTTGTTTTAATAAACTTTTAAGAGTATCCTTTCTCTAAAATCTGTTATGTTTGATTGTTGCATTGTAAAATAGAAGTCCATGACAGAAAATAGCATGGTGTACATATTTTCATTTATGGAAAATGGAGTAAGTTTAAGGGCATTTAATAAAGATCTTTGTTTTCCATTCAACATATTTTTGCCATTTTTGATTGGCTGCCCATGGGAAAATTGGAATTTTAGGTGACATCTTTATTGCCTCTAAAAATATTATATGGCCATGGTTATATTTCCGCTCGAAGGGTGTAATTTGCAGGTTGCAGGTCGCAGGTCAGAATTAAAAAATAAATGAATAAATGTCCTGAATGGTTTTCAGATCTTCCCAAGCTCTCAAAATAAAACATTACAATGATGTTTTGGTGATATCATATTCTTGACAGGGTCATGCAAAACCGGAAATATCAGATGTCAGTTCTATAACTGGATTCTTTAGCCCGAGGTCTTTCGAGGCAAGAAGGAAGATTTCAAAATTGTCAGATCAGCTAATCCTTCATTGCTGCTGTCCATCTCATCACTCCTGGCTTTTCTGGTTACAGAAAAGACTGGTTCCTTGTCGCTATCGCCGTCTGCCTTACCCACGATAGAAATGGAAATTACACAGCCATGGTGACCCAATTTATATGTGCACCTCGACTAAAACCAAAATAAAATATCATGTAAGTTTAAAAGCAAAAAGAAATTTCACTGAAATCCATGTTGGATGCACATCGTGGATAGCCGGCACCATTCATTATTCCTTTTTTTTTTTTAGTGTAAAGCAACAAGACAAAACAAAAATATATGATGTTAAATTCCAACTGAGCTTGAGAAATTCTGATTTATATATGTGCAGTGTGGTACTATAGGCAGAATTAAATTTAAAACGTACCTCTTGGTATAAAGAGGAATGCGAAATGTAACTCCCTCCAAACAATTATTTAAAACCTTCCTTCTTGCTTTGAAAGGTCTGGGACTAAAGGATCAATTTTTGCGTGACCCTGTCAAAAATATAACATCACCAAAACATCAGGGGTGTAGCTAGGAATTTTCAAAGGGGGGATCACGCTGTGTCACACCCAAGGTACTTTTGCGTGTACTTTGGGGTGTGGATTAATTTATGGTGAGTGTTTTGGATGTGTGAAAGTAAATTGGGCGTATTTCTACCAATGATAATCAGACTGTTGTTAATGGTGACTGATCAGTGGCGTAGCCAGAGGAGTGTTCCAGGGGTTCCGGAACCCCCCATTGGGCTGTGGCACTAGCTATAATTTCAAGAGGAATGAGAGTTTTGCTGTTAAAGAAAATGAGAAGAAAAAAATTAAAAGTATCACATTCTATATTTGGGGGGTTACATATACCAAGGTTTGATCAGTCTTTGCAGTAGCCTTTTTTCCTTTAATTCTATTACTATCAGGAAGATCATACAAGGCCCCTGTGTATACAAGCCTGCAATGTGTGATTCAGCACCTTTGTTGTTCTCGATTGCTTTCAATTGCATGTTGTAATGGTTTAACTATGAGAGGGCTTAATAGAAACACAGTAGAGGCATTAAATAAAAGTGAAAAGGTAGAATTAAATCAGCATTGATGTTTGCAAATCAGTCTGAGTAGTTGACTGAAACTGGGATACTAACACTAACAGCACGGCAAACTGCCTAAAACATACAGTATTCAGGAATTCATCATATGCCACCCAGGTTACCATGATGTATTGCCTTTTCCTTACATGAAAGCTACTCAGTATCAGGCTCCGAAAGCGAGACATCAATGTCTATTAGGATACCATCGGCTCTAATTTTTATGTGGCGGCTTTTCTGTTGGCAGTGCAAGTGGCTCAACGCAGAAAAAGACCTTTCTAGTAGTCCAGTTGACGGCTTGGCCAGGCTACGCAGGCTATACATTGTTACAAATTACATCAGCAGAACATGAGCGATGATTTAGCACATTGCGCAGACTTAAAAAGTAATTAGTGGCGAACATGAATGAAGCAAGAGTCCGCTGCTCTTGCTCCGATGAACATTGCATTACTCAAATTGGCCCTAAGGCCAACAATCGACACCTTTGCACGGAAGCATCCATGATGGTTCCTCCTTGCTAATATCC